CCCCAAAACCCCAAAACCCCAAAACCCCAAAACCCCGAGGAAATTTTAGTAAATAGAATACTAAAACATAGAAATGGAACATATGCCAATCATTGAACAAGCTCTTGGGAGTAAGGAGTCTCAAGAGGAAGCTCTCAAAATTGTCCTCTCACTGTCAAATGATACTGAATCTTTGAAGTTATTTGCTGAAAGCAAGAACATTATTAGAAAAGTGATTGAGCTTTCTGGAGAAGAATCAGTTTCCAATTTAGCACTCCAAGTTATGATCAATCTGTCTCAAAATGAAGATATAAGCAAAGTTATGGTCAAGAACGGAGGAATCAGCACTCTCTTTGACTTCCTGAGTAAGTCTTTGCAAGATTTCCTTGTATTAATCTCTGTTTCTAGAAACACACTTAAAGCCTGATGAAAAGGATGAAAAATCGGATGTAGGATATATTTCCAAAGAGAATGTGTATGAAGTTAAGCATGCAACAACTAGCAGTATCCCATTGGTTCTGATGGCGCTTACTAATCTCACTACATACCCATTTGGAAGAGAGAAGTTGCTGAATGCTAGTGATAATCCTGACTTAAAGATGATTTTAGTAGAAAATCTCGTTGCTATGACAGGGTTCTTCAAGGATCAAGACCTGTTCAATTTTGGAGCAAATGTGATAGCTAATTCAACAATTGATGCTGAGAAGAACGGGCTTACACTAGCTTCCTACAAGCCTCTTCTGGAGATGATTAGTTCTATCAAGAAGTCTCCAACTAAGAGGATGAAAGTCACTGAAGCAGTCAAGAATTTGATGTTTACATACAATGATAATCTCCAAGAAATCAAAGATCTCGATGTTGTCGTGTCTATAGGAACTGCTTTGATCGAGACAAATGTTCACGAATGAGCAAAAGCTATTGATGAAGACATAAAATTACATCCAAAATGGATAGAGGCTTATGAGAACAGAGAGAATAATGAACCTGAGATCGGTCCTCACAAGGGTATTAGTTAAGAATAACTTTTAGATGACTTAAATCATTGCTTAATGGATTGATTGGTTCTCTTGGGAAACGAAGAAGACATGCTTAATATTATGAATGATTATGGAATCCAGAATTTATTCGAAATACTCAATTTCCAAAAATATGTATCAAAGGAGCCCATTGCAAGTCAAGAAGCAGCATACCAGTCATTCATGGGTGATACTCAAATCAATGAAAAAGTGACTGTCGTTCTCAACCAAATTATATCTATTCTCCAAGAGACTCCAAAAACAGAAGAAATTCTAGCAGACCAAGAACCAAATCTCGATTCCGCTGCTGATAAGCCCTTAGAAGAGAGTAAAGAATAATAATTCAATCTTTGAACTTAGTAGGGGTTTTGGGGTTTTGGGGTTTTGGGGTTGGGG